TCGCTCATCCACTTACTCTCTCGCTCTCTGTGGTTGATAAAACTGTGAGTTAATCCCCACAGCTTAGTTCATCTAATCATCAGATTAAACACCCTAAAGCTACCTGGGTTAGGTTAGGCTAGGTTAGATTAGGGAGGCTAATCTTTAAGTTGAAATAATCGTGGATAACTAATCTTCACCTAATCCCCAATTCAAACTATGAATCCGGTTCCAAAATACGGATTCCCCCCAAGAACTGTTAGAGAACGCTTCCAGGTAGTAATTGTTGTTATTGTTATTGGATGTTATCTTTTGTCTCGCGGCTTGAGGGAGTTTTAAGCTTGTTCTCATCTCTCCAGTCTGTTGTGTGGCGGGGGGGGGAGGAACTTTGTGAGGATCTTGGTGTTTGGAATTTTGTTAAAGAGATAGGAAGTGTTATGTGAGTTCCAGTGTAAATCAGGTGATTTTGTTTGTCTCTCTCTCTCTTCTTCTGTTTCGCAAGGCAGCAAGGTGTGTGTCAGCTCAGGCGCATCAAGGCGCGAGTTAACACACATCTATCAGGGGCGGGAGTGTCCAGGACCTGCACCCTCCCTCCTGACACACTACACCTCAATCTAATCTTAATGCCATGATATATCGGCTCTGCTGGCTCTGTTAATATTACCATGATAATAATAACATTTAGTAATGAAAGATATTTAATAGTAGTTTGGTTGTTCCATTGATAAGTTTATTATTATTATTATTATTATTATTATTATTATTATTATTACTATTTTTGGGGGGTTTATAGTCGTGGTCCCTGCCTACGCCATCTTGATTCATTGTTGACATTTCTGTTTTTTTTTTTTAGTTTTATTTATTGCCTTGGTTGTTTCTTCCTTTTATTTATTTATTTATTTTTAGTCTTGTTATTGTATTTCTGCTTTTATTAATGTTATTATTGTTATTGTTTTATATGTCTATAGTTCTCGTAAAATATTTCTGCCCTTATCTATTTTTTTTTTACATTTTCTTCCTGTGTAGGTAGAGGTAGGAGGAGGTAGGGAGAAGAGAGGTAGAGGTAGGAGAGGAAGGGTAGGTAGGGAGTGTAGGTAGAGGTTTGGAGGAGATAGGGAGAAGAGAGGTAGAGGTAGAGGTAGGAGAGGAAGGGTAGGAGGTAGAGAGTAGGAGTGCAGGAGGTAGGAGGGAGGTAGAGATAAGTAGGTAGGCAGGAAGTAGTTAGAGAAGAGTAGGGTAAGAGGTAGGAGGTAGGGTAAGAGGTAGTGTAGGTGGGGTGAGAGGTAGTGTAGGTAGGAGGTAGAGGGAGGGAGGGTTGGGCAAGCGAGACTACATCCTGTGTGGTGGACAGTGACGGATATGACTTGTTACTTCCCTCCGCTCCTTCCCCCTCTCTCTCTTTCTCTCCCCACCACACCCCCTTCCATCTCTCTCTCCTTCTGTCTCACACACATACACCCACCTTCAAGCTCTCTCTCTCTCTCTCTCACGGTTAGGTCATCAAGAGAAAGAGAGAGAGAACAGGGGATTGTGTCATTATTTCCGGGTAATGGCGACCATTAGAGGAACTGAATCAGTATTTTTATTATTTATTGCAATTGTCTCCCCGGATCAGAGGGGAGGGATCCAGAGCACCTGTTGATTAAACATCCTGGCGGTAATCTATTCTAATCAAGCAACAATTTAATATCATAAAAGCTAACCCAACCCACCAACCTTGTTGGTGATTAGTTGTGAGTCATGAGCTGGTTGGGTAATTACTGTGGGGTAGGGGGGGAGGGAGGGATGTTGGGAGGGAAAGAGAGAAAGAGTGGGTGTTGGGGGGTAGTTAGAGGGAGGGAGGGCGGGAGGAGAGATAGGAGTGTTGGAGGGAGAGAGAGGGGGGGGGGTATGGGTTTAGCTGGAAGCGGAGGTGTGTGTGTGTGTGTGTGTGTGTGTGTGTGTGTGTGTGTGTGTGTGTCAGCTATGGGGCGGCATGTCGAAATATTCAGATTACCTAGGTATGAAAATTACCAGGTTAACATCATCAAGTACCCCACACCAATATGGTTGGACTCACCATCACCACTATCACCACTATTTTCATCCCCATCGCTATCATCACCATCACTATTTTCAACCCCACCACTACCACCACCATCACCACTACCACCATCACCACAATACATGTCTCACTATAGAGTTTAATAACACCTGGATCTAATTTATTTTGATAGTAATTAGTGACAGGTGTATCAAGGGGTTATAAATATAATTTCCGGGTGTTACTATGTCGTGTATGTGTGTTAGTCTGTCAGTTTGGGGGATCACGTTCTACAGTACTTAGTGGGGTTAGGTTAGGTTAGTTAGGTTAGCGTTAGATTAGTCGAGGTTTTAGTTAGGAAGGGAAGGGGATGTTGGAGGAAGGGGGTGTTGGAGGGAAGGGGGTGTTGGAGGAAGGGGGGCTGTTGGAGAAGAGTGAGGGTGTTGGAGGGAAGGGGGTGTTGGAGGGAAGAGGGGCTGTTGGAGAAAGTGAGGGTGTTGGAGGGAAGGGGTGGGTGTTGAAGGGAGGGGTGTTGGAGGGAAGGGAGATATTGGATAAGGTAAGAGGATTTACCAAGATGGAAGATTGAATTGGAGGGAAGGTGGGAGGGTGAGAAGCGAGAGAAGCTAAGAGACAGGTTAAGGGAGGGTGAGACAGCGTGAGAGAAGCTAAGAGACAGGTTAAGGGAGGGTGAGACAGGGCGAGAGAAGCTGAAAGACAGGTTAAGGTGGGGGTTGAGTGAGTGAGACGGGGGAGAGAAGAAGAGACAGGTTAAGGAAGGGTGAGACAGGGTGAGGGAAGGTGTTTCAAATTTGAGTGTAGTTTGGGTGTATCTTGGTGTGGGTGTAACCTGGGTGTTTTAGGGTGTAGGTGTGGTGTGTGTGGGAAAACATGCGGTGAGAGAGAGAGAGAGAGAGAGAGAGTATTGATTCAGTCATGCGCGTTGGCAGCAGACCTCCCCCCGCACTCAAGCATGTCTTAGAAGATGGCTTAGCGCCTTAGATAATGTGGCTTGGTGCCTTACATAGAAGAAATGTTTGTAAGAATAGGTGTTGATTTATTTAGGTAACATATGTTCACCTGGCCGTAATGAACGAAGGTAGAGCCCACCTGGTAGTCACGTAAATGCTCGCTGAGTGGCCATTATGTCATGCTCGCTGAGTGGCAGTAAACAAACGAGGGTGACCAAGCTCTCCCACCACTCTGAATCCGGATAATAAACTTGATGTTGGTGATGATGAAGGGGGCAAGGTGGTGGACGAGAGAGAGTCAGTCGCCATTGTAGATGTGTTACTATTTTAAGCTGGACCAGGCGAGAGAGAGATTCCAAACTCGGCTCTCTAACCTGTGTTGGTGAGGCAATAGTACTGTTTACACCCACCTCTCTCCCCTCCCTTCTCCCTCTCTCTCACCTCTCCTCCCCACCCCCTCTTACCCCATCCTAACGTACGATGCCAGTAATTGTACAGTAAGTTATTATTATTATTATTATTATTATTATTATTATTATTATTATTTTTATTATATTGTTGTTGTTGTATAACTGTATCCTGACTTAATTGTTATGGCTCCTTTCCAATGTCTTCTCCTGTTGTGAATCAGACTTAAAAGTATTCCTCCTCCCCTACCCCTCCTTCCCTACCCCTCCTCCTCCTCTCCCTCCTCCCCTGCCCCTCCTCCTCCCCTACCCCCTACCCCTCCTCCCCTCCCTACACCTCCTCCCCTCCTCCCCTGCCCCTCCTCCTCCTCCCCCTACCCTCCTCCCCTCCCCTCCCTCCCCCCCTACCCGTCCTCCCCCTACCCGTCCTCCCCCTACCCCTCCTCCCCACCCGTCCTCCCCCACCCCTCCTCCCCCCCCCCTCCTCCCTATTCCTCCTCCCCTACCCCTCCTCCCCCTACCCCTCTCCCCCTACCCCCCCCTCCCCCTACCCCCCCCCTCCTGAAGGTAGACACTCTTGAGGTTGTCTCCATCATGTTATCTTCAGCGACAGTGTGAAGCTTCCTTAAAGGTCTTATAATAGTCCTTTCTCCGTTCACACACACACACACACACACACACACCTTTTGCTTCAGGCTGTTTTCTTATCCCTTTTGGCCTCTGTAGTTATCTAATTTTCTTCCCTTCGTTTAGACAATGTCGTTCCCAGTCAGTCAGTCAGCCAGCCAGTCAGCCGGCCAGTCAGTCAGTCAGCCAGCCAGTCAGCCGGCCAGTCAGTCAGCCAGTCAGGTCCTCGTGGTTCGCCTTGTGCTGCCGCTAGATTTAACCAAACGCCTTCCCTTCCCTCCCCGCCCCTCTTCTCCCTCGTGAGGTGCGGACTTAAAGTTGTGTTATGAAGGCTGTCTGACGTGGTGGGTGGCCTCGTCTTCTTCCCTGGCGGTAGCTGGAGGTGTGAGATGTTGTTCTTCCTTAGTAGTAGCTGTAGATGTGAATTCTTCTTTGACTTTCTTCCCTGGAGTCAGCTGGAGGTGTGAGATGATGTTCTTCTTCCCTGGCGGTAGCTGGAGGGTTGATTTATTCCTGGTAGCGGCTTTGGAGTGTGTCTTTGTTCTTCCCTGGAGGCACCTGGGGCCCCAGGTCTCTACAAGGTTTCCAGTCGACCGCTCGTATGGCTGACCTAATCTACAGACACAGGCTGACACTTGAGGTTCACCAGGCTGACACTTGAGGTTCACTCCACCCAAAAATAAGATAGCTTTTTATGAACCCGAATTCAGGAGTTTGTTATCCTCCCTCCTCCTCCCCCCTTCACCGTCACACCCTTCCCTTCCCCCATTCACCTTCCTCCCCTTTGCCCTCGTCATTACAGGATCAACATGTAAACAGAAGGTAATTACCGTTAAGATTGGCCGAATAATCACGCCTCGCCGATGACGTCACAGCCTCGGGGTAGCCTGAGTCTGTTTTAACAGGTTGGCAGTGAGACAGACAGACACTAACCCCGTCTCCCCCCACCCTCACCCCACCACCCCACCACTAACTGTTATCTTCACCTTGCAGGATTATCCACGAGTCTGGGTTCACGAGTGAGGACTTCAAGCAGTACCGGCCGGTGGTCTACTCCAACACCATCCAATCCCTCGTGGCCATCCTTCGAGCCATGCCCAACCTCGGCATATCCTTTGGCAACAACGAGCGGGAGGTGAGTGTCAGTGTATTACTAAGATATTGTGTGTGTGTGTGTGTGTGTGTGTGTGTGTATTGTATAAGGTGATTAGTAAAGGACTGCTCAGTATAAAGGCGTACCATGTATTACGTCTTTTGTGTGTGTGTGATTAATGGCCAAGTAGTGTATTGTAACTCCCCCAGAACTCTCTTTTATCAAGGTTGGGGCCTCAATGGGTGATGTTGATTGATGACTGGGTGGGCGGGTGGGTGTTCTGGGTGGGTGGGTGGGGGAGAGAATGTCCTTGTGTGTAGGGTTCAATGCAGCCGTGTGGTGGGTGTAGGGTGGGTGGGATGGGTATACATTGGGTGTATGTGGTGGGTATATTGGGGATGGGTGTAGAGTACGTGCATTGGGTGTAGAGTACGTGCATTGGGTGTAGAGTACGTGCGTTGGGTGTAGAGTACGTGTGGTGGGTGTAGAATGGAAGGGGTGGGTGTATAGTGCGTGGGATGGGTGTAGCCAGGTAGGTAGTGAGGAAGGCAGGGTGGAGGTGAGGTAATTGAAACTTGGCTCGTATTGTCCGTAGAGTTTCAGACACCCTCTCTCATGCGCGCGCGCGTGTGTGTGTGTGTGTGGACAAACATCATTCATGTTTTTACTCACACACACACACACACACACGAGCGAGAGAGAGAATATTTTTGGACCAATAGTCATCGTCCAATAGTTGTTAGAGGAGGAGGTGGGCCACGCCGTCGTCAGATATTGGCAAATCCCCACCAGGAAGACCTCATTACCCGTCTGGGGGATTTCCTGAGCTTCTGAAGGAGGCGAAGAAGGGGGAAGATACTAAGTCGACATCCTTATTTGTATTCTTTTCGCCAAATCGCCAACTCATTACCTCACCAGCGGGAAATTGGGGAGGGAAATAAGGCTTGACATTACGGACGTGAATATATAGTAATGAGTGGGCGTCACGCCTCGTCCAGGTCGCTATCGATGGTGATCGGTAGGATTGTGGAAGTGATGGTGGTGGTGGTGGTAGGTAGGATGGTGGGTAGTGGTGGTAGGCGGGATGGTGGTAAGCAGAATGATGGGTGGGTGGTGGTGGTGGTAGGTAGGATGGTGGATAGTGATGCAATAATGGTGGTAGGGAGGAGGATGGTGATGGTGGGTGAATGGCAATGTTTTATCCCTTGACGTCAGCAATCTCCACGCAGACGCATTCTTGACGTCACCCACTCCTCCCACCCCAGGCTGGCTCTGTGTGTGTGTGTGTATAGTGATGGGTGGCATTGGTGGTAGTGATGGTTGGTAATGGTGGTAGTGGTGGGTTGTAATGGTGGTAGAGCTGGGCTGCAATGGTGGTGATGAGTGGTAGTGGTGGGTTGTAATGGTGGTAGTGATGGTTGGTAATAGTGGTGGTAATGGGTGGGCGGCACAGGTGAAGTGTTTACAGGAAGGGGCCAATATGCGGGCGGGAGAAGGGTGTCATGGCCGCCCATCTCCTGGAAGAGGTAGTGTGGGAGGGGGGGGGAGGATAGGGGTAGTGTCAGCTGAGATAGATAGCTAGAAGGAGGGTGTTGATGGAAGGGAAGAGGGTGTTGATGGAGGAGGTGTTGATGGAGGAGAGAGGGTGTTGATTGAGAGGGGGTGTTGGTGGGGGGAGGGAAGGAGAGGTGAAGGCATGGTGTGGGTTGGAGGAATGGATGAGAGTGAGGAGGTGGGTGAGTGAGGGTGGGAGGGAGAGAGTAGTGAGGAGGAGGCAGGTAAGTGAGACAGGTATCGTCACACACTAATTACTCTGGCCAATCACTTGGTGGCAGACAGGTAGTGGACCTCATCTGTCCACGGGGAACAGCTGAAGGAGAGGTCCTGACAGGTGAGGGTGGGAGGTGGAGGAGAGTGAGAGAGAAAGAGAGAGAGAGAAACTGAGAATGTGTGTGTATTAAGGAGAGAAAGAAAGAGTGGGTGAGAGAAAGGTAGAGCGAGTGAGATAGAGTGAGTGAGGAAAGTGAGGTAGAGTGTGTGAGGGAAGTGAGAGTAAGTGAGAGAAGTAAGAGTGAGTGAGGAAAGTGAGGTAGAGTGTGTGAGGTAAGTGAGAGTGAGGGGCTGAGTCTAGTATTATCGGCGCCTCAGCCTGTGAATAATACATGTGGCTCAACACTCACTCACTCCTCCTCGTCTTCCTTCTCCTTCCTCCTCCCTACTGTGTGTAATAATAATAATAATAATAATAATAATAATAATAATATTAATTAACGGTTTATTGAGAGAGCATGGCAGCCGGAAGGCTGAAAATATACATTTACATAATTAGGGAATGGGTCACTTGAGTGTGTGTGTGTGTGTGTTACTGGGCACACACACACACACATACAGTGTTCCTGGAAGAGTGTGTAGTCAGAATGTTTCCAGGAAGTGACCACATACCACGGCCCCCTCACATATACCACACTAACAAAGTTATCTCTCTCTCTCTCTCTCTCCCTCTCTCCCTCTCTCTCTCTCCCCGTCATGTGCTAAAACTCCCTCCACTTCGGTCTCCCTCCCTGAGACCCTTCACCTACTACAAACTCCCAAAACTCCCTCCCTCCACTCTTGGCCTCCTTCCCTCCACTCTGGCCCTCTTCCTTCCATTCTGGCCTCCTTTCCTCCACCTTCTAAGAACTCCCAAAACTCCTTCCATCCACTCTGGCCTCCCCCGCCCTCTCTCCCTCCACTCTTGGCCTCCCTCCCTCCAACCCTCCACTCTTGGCCTCCCTCCCTCCAACCCTCCAACTCTGACAATATGTAAGTAAGTGCTGGAGGTGAGGTGGTCACACGTGGGGACTTATAACTTGTACCTGTAGTGGAGGTGTGGCTCAGGCGACGACCACATACTACGGTGGGGGGGGGAGGAGATAGGGGGTAATGTTGGGAGGGGGAGGGGGGTCATTATCTAACCTCTCCATTCCCTCTCCTCTAACCACCCCACTCCCCCTCTAACCATCCTATTCCTCCAACCACCCTATTCCCTCCTCTAGCCACCCTGTTCCCTCCTCTAGCCACCCTGTTCCCTCCTCTAGCCACCCTGTTCCCTCCTCTAACCACCCTATTCCCTCCTCTTAACCCTTCCATTCCTCCTCTAACCACCCTGTTCCCTCCTCTAACCACCCTATTCCCTCCTCTTAACCCTTCCATTCCTCCTCTAACCACCCTGTTCCCTCCACCAACACCTCCCCCCCCCAACCACCCCTTACCTCCTTCAACTCCCCTGTTTCTTCCCTCCCCCTCTCCCCCTGGTTAGGTTAGGTTAAGTGAGGTCAAGTGAGGTCAGATGAGGTTAGATTAGGTCAGTGTACAGTTAGTGACATTCGAGTGGCCGGCAGTCCTCCCTGGGTTGTCATGGCAGCACCCCCACCCACCAACCCTCCACGTTGTCATAGTGACCGCCAGGTAGAGGCAAGGATGTGGAGGCTGGTGAATAGTGGTTGGTGATTGTGGTTGGTTCAGTGACAGAGAGAGAGAGAGAGAGAGAGAGTTGCGGGATACAGTCGTGGCTACATCCTGGTCACCCTGAGTCCAGCGGGGGGTTATATCCTGCCGGTGTTTGGGGGGGAATAGGCCATCATGCCCACCCTATACAAGCCCCCCCCCCTCCCTCCTCTGTATCTGTATAGTCCGTTAAATGTGGGTTTCACATCTAACGGACCCTCGATAAAACGGACTTTCATCTCCATACAGTCCATTGAATAGAGGAATTCACATCTAACGGACCCTCGATATAACGGACTTTCATCTCCATTCAGTCCGTTATGTATAGGGAATCGCTGGTAACTCTATACAATCGTGGGGGAAAAAAGGTGAATCATCTCTATATATGTTGCCAAGTGACCGTGGACTGGTGGTGGGGGGGGGGTGATCCCTTCATCTGACGGCAGCAGGGGAGGGGGATTGTGGTAGAATAGTTAATGGTTCGGTAGTGGTTGTAGGTAGGTGGTGGTAGCAGGTAGTTGTGTGATGGAAGGTGGCTGTGTTATGACTGGTAGATCAAACAAATAATAAAACAAGAATCGAACTGGTATATAACCCCCCCCCCCTCCCTCTAGCATTACCTATTGAAGCCAAGTGGTTCATTGGTTCACTCGCTCAAGATTCGTAGCAGAGAGTCTCGAACGGTTCAATACACTGAGACGGGATCGAACGGGGTTGGGGGTGACTCATGACTCGTGTGTATCGAAGCAGCGAGTCGGTACACCTGAACGGGTTATTGGGAAAGGTATTGTGGGGACGGGGGGGGGGCTGTTATGTGTTCCTCTTTGTATTTATCAATGTAACTTTCTTGCTTAAAATACTCTTTTTCTCTCTTTTCTCTCTCTCTCTCTCTTTCTCTCTCTCTCTCTCTCTCTCTCTCAGAATTTTTCATTTTCTTTCTCATTTCCTACTTTTTAGAGGCTGTGCGGCGGATTGGACGAGATTGGCAAGGGAGGGAGGGAAGGGAAGGGAGTAGGTAGGGAGGGAGGGAAGGGAAATAGGTGTGGTGTGGTGGGAAGGGGAGGGTGGGAGGGGAGGAATAAGAAAAGAAGGTTAATATGGGATAATGATGGGATGGGAGAGAGATAGTAATAATAATAATAATAATAACAATGATTAGTTTAATAGCATAAGAGGTGTGTGTGTGTGTGTGTGTTAGTCTGCTCTGAACAGCTGGGCTGCCACGACACCTGCGGGGAGTGAAGTCACAGGCGGCTCGACCAATCAGCTGCAGACGCGACGAGACGACAGGTGTTTGACTAGCAACCTTGTTTTTGTTGTTGTTGTGTTGTTGTTGTTCTATATTGATTATTGATTAGAAATGTTTAGATAACTATTACGTATTGATATGGTGGTTGAGAGGCGAGGTGGTGGTAGTTGTAGGTGTTGATAGAGGGTGGTGGTGACGATGGTGGTAGTTGTGGATAGTGGGTGTTAGTATAAAGTAGTAATAGTAGTGGTGGTTGTAGTGGCGGTGATGATGGTATTGGTAGTGGTGGCGATGGTGGTAGTGGCGATGGTGGTAGTGTTGCAGGGTGGTCGATAGCACACACAAGAGTCTCTCAGTTGTCTAACCTGCAGTGTCTCCCCCCCCTCACCTCATGCCTCACCCCTCACCATTTCATGCCTTGCCACCACCACCACCTCCTACCACACCTAATAGCCTCTTCCCCCTCATAGTGATATTGTGGTAGGTGGTGGTGTTGTGGTAGGTGGTTGTATTGTAGTAGGTGGTGTGGTAGGGAAGCTTGGTGATGGTATTCCCCCACCACCCACCACATTACAGGGAATCTGGGGAAACATAAATGAATTTGGGGATAAAATATGATTATCATGAAAGCTTATTAAAAAATGAAATGTGGAGGAGGGAGGATTGTGTGGCGGTGAGGGGAGGGGGTAGTGGGGAGAGGGGGGGGGAAAGTGGGGGAGGAAGGGGAATTTGAAGAGAAAGAGATGTTTGTGTGTTGTGAAAGTATTAAACCATCGTCCTCAGAGAGTTAACCTCAAAGATAATTTAAACACTGACAACCTACCAACTTAATCATCTCTGTATATAACTACTGTACTGGTGTATTAATGTCCCCCCTCCTCCTCCAGCCTGATGCTAAGATGGTGTTCGACGTGATCTCCCGGATGGAGGACACTGAGCCCTTCTCTGAGGAACTCCTGTCGGCGATGAAGCGCCTCTGGGCCGACACGGGCGTCCAGGAATGCTTCGGTCGCTCCAACGAGTATCAGCTTAACGACTCCGCCAAGTAGTGAGTGTCGACTGTCTTTTGTATACGTGTTTCGCTTTTTTTTTCTCCTCTGTTCTCTAAGGTATCATGTGTTAAGCGTAAGTCATGTGTTAAGCTTAAGTTATGTGTTTATCCCAGCTTAAAACTCAAAGTTTTCATAAGGAATGGATTCTTGTGGAGGGTTTTAGGGCAGGAGGGAGGGTAGGAGTCTTTGTCTCTGCGTGTCTGGCTCACAAAGTCTTAGGCAGGTGGGGGTAGGGGGTCTTTGTGTGTGTGTGTGCCGCGCGTGTAAGGGGCCATTGACCTTCACTAAGCCTCATATCAAGAGTTGACCTTGGAGCTGGTGAGAGAGAGAGAGAGAGAGAGAGAGGTGAATGACCGAGTCGTAGTTGGAAGCCGTAGCAGCATAGGATACCACCTAGTGTAGGAGGGAAGAAAGAGGAGGGGAGGAAGGGGTGGAGCAGCAGCAACCATTCGTCTTCCTGGCCTTTGCCTTTCATTGTTCAGCTCCCCTCCCTACCTCCCCCTCCCTTTCCCCCCCTCCCTGGCACTCTCTCTCTCAGCCTGTACCTCCCTCTTCTCTCACTTTCTCCCTCACTCCCTGCCATCAAGAAGAAGGGAGGAGGGGTGGGGGAGGAGAGGAGGCGGCTTTACTTAACTCTTCCCCTTTGATGGTGTCCAGGCCAGCACACGTCGACCCTCTGGTGGCGGCCGGTGATACAAAGCATATAGCCTTCCCTCCCATCCTTCATCATTATCTCCTCCTCCTTCTCTTCTTACAGTTTTATTAAGGGTTACTCTTATTTTACAACCCCCTCCTCCTCCTCTCGTCACCACCCCTCTCCCTCCCCCCCCCCCCCCCCCCCCCCCCCCCCCCCCCCCCCCCCCCCCCCCCCCCCCCCCCCCCCCCCCCCCCCCCCCTCCACCTCCCCTCCCACTTCCCTCCTCACTCCTCCTCTACCTCCCCCTCCTTCAGACGTCTCAGTGTAGGTACAAGTAATTGTCCAGGTAAACACAACAGGTAATGAGGAACCTGGTGTAGGGAGACCTGAGGGTAAGTGAGGGGTGAGGAGGAATGAGCGATGGTAGAGAGGGAATTGCCAAAGAGAGGGAAGGATGGAGTGCAAAGCAAAGCCAAGGGCCAAGTGATGGTCACACAATATTCATGAACCAATACCTAACCGGAAACGTGTGGCACTATTCCCAGATACCAGGAGTGCCTCTCAGGATCCTGGAGTGTGCCCCCCACGCCCTTCCAAGATTCCAGGAATACAAAGAGATTCCATGTATCCCACACACCCCCTCACCCTCACCCTCCACACACACACACACACACCCCCCCACACACCACCCCACACACACACACCCCACACACACACACTCCCACTCACACACACACACACACACACACACACACACACACACACACACACCCTCCCTCAGGTTCCATGAATTTGTCCCTGATAATGAAACACGTTACTGTATTATTATTACAGTAAAACCTCCATATAACGGATTCTCTCCATAAATCCGTTAAATGGAGGGTTTCATATCTAACGGACCCTCGATATAACGGACTTTCATCTTTACATTTTTACTCCTTCCCTTCCTCACCCTAAAATATCTTGGCCTACTTTTCCCTCTCCCTCCCTCCCTCCAATCCATCTATTTTCCCATCCATCCATCCACCTTCCCTCCCTCCTCCCCTCCCCCCCTCCTCCCCTCCATCCCACCCTTTCTCTTTCCCATCACCTTCTCCTTCTCACCCTTCCCATCACCCTTCCCATACCTCCATCTCTTCTCCCTCCCTGACTTAAAGCCATTGATATAAAAGCCTCGACAGTTCATACAGGGGAGTGACCTCTACTCTCTCTCTCTCTCCTAGAAACGATTTATTGAACAGAATATAAAGAGATAGAGATTTAGATAAATATGTTAATAGTTAGTTAGATAGATAGATGGGTTAATAGATAGTTAGGTTAGTAGATAGATATATAGGTAGGTAGATAGATAGAGAGATATAGATATGATTATATAGATAGATATATATAGATAGATAGATAGATTTATTTAGACAGATAAATATAGATAAATAATATATATAAATAATATATATATATATATATATATATATATATATATATATATATATATATATATATATATATATATATATATATATATATATATAGATATATATAGATACAAGTAGATATCCCACATTGAGCTTAATGCTTTTGGGCTGTGTGTTGCCAAAAATATCTACGGCCTGAGAGCAGCAGCCCAAGAGAGAGAGAGAGAGAGAGAGAGAGAGATTGTCTTAATCACCAGTGCCTCAAAAATAAAAAATAAAATAAAAAGTTAAATATAATTGTATTTTATAATCAACCTGACAAAAAAATATTAAACTATTAACTAAGACGAAACAAAAAAATAGTTGGGTGTTTTGATGATGTCTTAATTAATAACTAGATACACTTACTTAACTCTCCTCCTATCTCGCCTTCCTCTTCCTTCTCTCTTCATCTCTCTCCATCTCCCTTCTCCTTCCTATTTCTCCTTTCCCTCCTCCTCCCTCCTCTTTCTCCTTCTCTTTTCACCTTCATCTTCTCTCTCTCTCACCTTGGGTTACACCGTCGCCGCCTCCGCCCGCCTCAACACCAGAACGAGGTCAGTTTAAAGTTGGGTGAGACAATCGCTCCACCAGCAGCAAGCAGTAATGTCTCCAGTGTCGTCAGCAACAGTAGTGTCTATAATATCGTCAGCAGTAGTAGTCTATCTGGTGTCGTCAGCATTCAGCAGTAGTAGTAGTGTTTCCATTATTGTCGTTACAGCACCACCCATCATCATCATCATCATCATCATCATCATCACTCACCACCACCACCACCACCACCACCACCACCTACCTTCACCACCACCACCACCACCTACCACCACCACCTTCACCACCACCACCACCCACCACCTTCACCACCACCTCCATCACCACCACCATCACCACCACCACCCATCACCACCACCACCCATCACCACCACCACCCATCACCACCACCCATCACACACCACCACCACCTTCTTATCCTCCTGTCACCCTTCACCACCACCCATCATCACCTACCCATCACCACCACCCACCACCACCCATCACCACCACCACCCACCACCACACACACACCACCACCACCACCCCCCCCCATCACCACCACCACCACCCCCCCCATCACCACCACCCATCACCACCACCCATCACCACCACCCATACACCCACACACTCCTACACCCAAGATGGCGGACACTGTGTTGTGGTAGTGGACGGCCGTGACCCCGTGACCTGGACTAAATACAGCTCACTCGTGTTTACCGTCAAGCTTATAATGGCCGACCACCACCCCCATCACTACCCAAGATGGCGGACACTGTGTTGTGGTAGTGGACGGCCGTGACCCCGTGACCTGGACTAAATACAGCTCACTCGTGTTTACCGTCAAGCTTATAATGGCCGACCACTGTGGCGTAAATATAGCGCCAACGTTCACGGAAACCTGGTGGTGGGGGTAGGGAGGAGGGAGTGGGGTAGGGGAGGATAGAGAAGTGGGGAAGGTGGGGAGGGACGACAGGATTAATACCACTACAGGCTGAGAGATGGTGGCCACAGCCCTCACCCCTCACCTCACCAGACACGAGGTTGGGGGGGGGGTCACTTTTTACTTAACCTAACCTCACGATACCTAAAGAGTCGTGTGTGACGGACGGACAGACAGACGCTGAGTGACAGATGACTGTTGGTAAATCATTAAATAAAGATGTTGAAGGTGTGTGACAGATGGAGTGACACTGTGTAAATTATTGAGTGCGTTGACAGGTGGTTATGGACAGGTGGGGACGGACAGGTGGTGATGGTTTAATTTCTGTCTCTTTTTCCCTTTTCCTTCTTCGTCTTTTCCACTTCTCGTACTCCTTCTCCTTTTCATAATTCTTGTCTTGCTCCTCTTCCTTTTTTATTTCTTATTGTTCTTTTTCTCCTTCATCCTCACTCCTCCTCTTCCTCACTCCTCCTTCATCCTCACTCCTCCTTCTCCTCTTCCTCACTTCTCCTCTTCCTCACTTCTCTTCCTCACTTCTCCTCTTCCTCACTTCTCCTCTTCCACACTTCTCCTCTTCCACACTTCTCCTCTTCCACACTTCTCCTCTTCCTCACTTCTCCTCTTCCTCACTTCTCCTCTTCCTCACTTCTCCTCTTCCTCACTTCTCCTCTTCCTCACTTCTCCTCTTCCTCACTCCTCCTCCTCCTCCTCCTCCTACAAGCACATGCAAACCTGCGTGCCACGAAAGCCAGCTTGCCTCTGTGTGTGTGTGTGTGTGTGTGTGTGTGTGTGTGTGTGTGTGTGTGTGTGTGTGTGTGTGTGTGTGTGTGTGTGTGTGTGTGTGTGTGTGTGTGTGTGTGTGTGTGTGTGTGTTCGTTCGTTTAAGTTTTTTTTATTAAAATTTTTTTATTGTTAATTGCAGTATGAGTTAATGATCCCTGGCGCTCTCTTTAAGCAGCCAAATACTGTAATTATCATTGCTGGGGTCATCTCACACACACACACACAAACAATGCAAATGACTGTCAAAAAGAACATCATCATTATGGTACAGCATTGGTGGAGTGGTTACTGTGGTGTGGTTATCAAATCTTTCAGTCCCTTTTTCGAATCCCATTTGAGGAGGCCGTGTGTGTGATTGGTCCCAGGTACGACCCAGTGGTAAAACAGCAATAAGAGTACAGTAGTTATCACCTCGTCCCCATCCTCAACATTTCTGGTTCACATCTGTCTAAAATCATAAAGCGGCGATGGTTAATATGTAGCTGATCTGCCGCCCCCATTATTATCAGTTCAGTCAGAGAGTGAAGTTTTTCTCTCCAACTGTCGGTGATGATTATATAAAGCCAGGGTCAGTTGTACCTTGATGACACTTGAGGTTTATGGTACATTTAATTTCTCCACAGGGTCACTAGATGGCCCTAGCTTGTGTAGTAAACTATTGTAGTCTGTTAAATAAAAGGGTTCGCTGTATCTTACTAACTAATAACAGTATTTTAACATATAAAACTAATAACAGTGTTGTAATGTATAAAACTAACTAATAACCGCATTTTAACATATAAATAACATCTTAATTTTGTGGTTAATTGGACATTCAGGGAGATTTGCTTGTAACTCTGAAAATTCTAAGTCAAACGTTCATAAGTAGAGGAGGCGGCTGGGAGCACATTCTGATTTTTTATCACGTTCTATATCTTATCAAAGAGTCCATGTTTTGTGTCATAATTGTACAGCAAGATTAATTATCATGTTATAACATTATCTTCTTATATTTCAGTTTCCTTGACGACTTGGACCGGCTGGGAGCCAAGGATTACCAACCTACCGAACAGGACATTCTCCGAACTCGTGTTAAGACCACTGGCATCGTTGAGGTTCACTTCTCCTTCAAGAACCTCAACTTCAAGTATGTATTCGGGCGTTTAGTTTTGGCCCGTCGTATTGTCATTGTGGTTTAATAAGGTGGCGGTGTGGTAACTGGCTAACTAATGAATTAAAAGTGATGGGAGGATTCGGACCACAATTTATGAGCCATGGAGGGTATAGTACAGTAGATGGTAAAGAAATGGAAGTTAAAATTTGTACCTGTTAACACTAAATAAAAAACTATTGCATTTATAAACCATTTTACAGTGTAAGAATTAATATATAATTACTGAAAGGTGTAAATAAAAAAAAATTGTAAATAAAGTCCGGGTACAGTGGTAGTAAAATTAGTGTCGGGTTAGCCGTTACCACCGGGCAGCGAGCGCCATGACGGCCCACGCTGCCCGGTGTAGTCCGCCACCTCAAGTTTGTTTAGGTTTGTCTTGTGTGTTGCTGCGACCTTCTTCCATATTATATAACACATTTATTGTGCGTCGTCACACCTGGGAAAATGTGGTTGTATTAGATGCACAACAGCGAGCATTTTGTTGGCTCGTTGTCGTCACTTATTTAGGGTTTGAAATCTTGCGTGGACGTCGGTTTCCCCGGGAGAGTTCAACCTTCTTCTGCCAGTTTTATATAAAAGATAAATATTAATTCGTTGTGTCCTATTTGGTACCTAATTTGTATATAAATAGATTACTAGGGACTGACTGCACGTGTGTTGACATTTAACATTGGAATGAGTGGAGGATTTAAAATGTTAGGATTGTTATTTGTTCGTGTGTGTGTGTGTGTGTGTGCATCAGTCCAGAAAGTCCCGGTGCTGTAGGACATTGTGACCAGTCGGGACAATATCTTTGGGTTGTGTCCTTACAGATATTACTCTCACTCGTCACAATTGTCCACGGTGCTAATAATAAACCGTGTTCTTCATTACCCCTGAACTTTGAAATTGAAAATAACCACCAAAGTAACGACATCTCCAACCGGAGCGAATCCTCGTGTGTGATTGGCGGAGGAGTGTCATGCGGGTAAAACTCCTCTGCCAATGACGAGGGGAAGTGTGCGCGTCTCGTTGATTGGCAGGTTAATGGACTGACCGAGCTATTGTACTCTTGGCTTATCTGTTACTGGTGCCTGAGCCTTCCAGTTCTTATGTGGGGCCCCTGTCTAACCTTATCCTCACCTACAGTCACTGACGTAGGAACCTTTTTTTCCCATCCTGATATCTCCCCCATAGTGTAGTGAGGGGGCCCCCACCCATCCTCTTAATTCTTCATAAATAATAATCTCTCTCTCTGACAGTATTTGGTGTTGTTATATTGGTTCCTCTATTAACATAAACCTGATCACGTATTGACTCGGCCTGTCAATCTATTCACTCCCTGTCTCTCCCATCCTCTCTCTCTCTCCAGGTGTTACTTAATACTGTTCCAGGACCTTCCCTTCATCTCTCTCTCTCTCCCCCTCACAACCACCTATCATCATCCCTCATCTCGGCTGTTTACCTTATACTTCATTGATATACACCATTTACTTCATCTTGTTCATCCATCATTTCTCTTATTCACAGCTCACTTCCTTCATCTTTCTCTCTTTTATCTCATTGTTTCTTAGTCTTTCATCATACCTCTTTTTGTTTCCTATCCTCTGTCTCTATCCTTTTCTGACCTTTCATCCTTTTCGTCCTCCTACCATCATCATCATCATCCCTGTCCCTCCTCTCCCAGCTTACTCACTCCCATGTCTTTTTATTCCTGTCCGTTCTTTGCTGTATCTAAATCATTTCCTACCAGACACTACACTACACTACACCACACTACACCACACACACACACACACACACACACACACACACACACACACACACACACACACACACACACACACACAGTATTTTTTGAGGAATGAGATGCAGAGAGAATAGATTGGGATGCCTTAAAGTTTGATAATTACTGGTGGTGACAGAGCCCCAACGTGTGGCCACTAAATTGGGCATCACTCTGTTAATTCCTGAACCAGAACCCAGAACATAACACGGCTTTACCTCACTTATTCTTAACCTAACCTCACATAACCATATTAAACATAACCTAGTCTATCCTTAGCCTAGCTTCTGTACCTAACATAGCCATATCAACCCTACCCTACCCTACCTTACCTTACCTTCCTTCCTACCTACATACCTACCTACCTACCTACCTTAACTTGCCGTAACCTAACCTACCCATAACTTAATTAATAACCATGTTAGGTTAGGTTAGCCGATGGTCACAACAATTACAAAAGATTCCCGAATATCTTGGGGATTACCGTACGAGAAATCCCCAGCACAGTAACACAGATTCTCCATAATACACAGGTACTTGTATACAGTATAACTTGATCACCACAGAACATCAGACTCTGACTTGAGAATTTTATATATGCATCTGAATTATTGGCATTATATATGCCCCAAAAATTTAATGATTTATGAAATATTAAAAAAAAAAGAATAAATACCAAATAGCAGAATAATCATCAGAGTAACGTGTTAAATATCTACCAAAATTATGTCATTATAATTGCGTTAATTAGGTAAAGTATCACACTTACGAAACTTATCAATAAAATTCATTAACTGTAATTTACTTCTAATTTATATCATCATACATTATGATAATCACTAAAGTATCATAATTACATGATTCATCTAAGTTTTATGTCATTACTGTATAATAAATTAAAAATGTCAGTAACCTTAGTTTATTACTTACACTTGATGAGCATCATAGAAAACAATAACAATACTAATAATAATAATAATAATAATAATTTAGAGTTATCAAGTCTTAGCCTTAGGTGATGTACAGTTTACATAACACATGGATGAAAACCCAACTCTGTCTCTCCAAGCCACCTGACACTTGTTCCATTCTTCTCCCTGACACTTGTTCCATTCTTCTCCCTGACACTTGTTCCATTCTTCTCCCTGACACTTGTTCCATTCTTCTCCCTGTCTCTTGTTCCATTCTTTTCCCTGACACTTGTTCCATTCTTCTCCCTGTCTCTTGTTCCATTCTTCTCCCTGTCTCTTGTTCCATTCTTCTCCCTGTCACTTGTTCCATTCTTCTCCCTGTCACTTGTTCCATTCTTCTCCCTGTCTCTTGTTCCATTCTTCTCCCTGTCTCTTGTTCCATTCTTCTCCCTGTCCATTCTTCTCCCTGTCTCTTGTTCCATTCTTCTCCCTGTCACTTGTTCCATTCTTCTCCCTGTCTCTTGTTCCATTCTTCTCCCTGTCTCTTGTTCCATTCTTCTCCCTGCCACTTGTTGCATTCTTCTCCCTGTCTCTTGTTCCATTCTTCTCCCTGTCTCTTGTTCCATTCTTCTCCCTGTCACTTGTTCCATTCTTCTCCCTGTCTCTTGTTCCATTCTTCTCCCTGTCTCTTGTTCCATTCTTCTCCCTGACACTTGTTCCATTCTTCTCCCTGTCTCTTTTTCTCTTCTCTGTCATCCACTGTCTCAGGAAATAGCCAGTTTTACTGTAGTTAATGATGGTATTCTCCTGTAGCCTCACCATGTCACCCCTCATGCTCCTCCTCAAAGATAGTTAGACCAACATTACAGTTACATCATCTTCTTGCATCCGTAAACATGTTCATTCCTCCCATAGTGATGTTGGACTCCCTGAATGCTCTCACTCACCTCCCCCCCCCCTTTTGCCACTCCAACCAACAGTCCCGTCCCTCCGCCCCCCCTTTGACACTTCCAGTCCCCCCCCCCTCCTCTTGACAGTCCACCCAGCAGTCCTGTCCCCTCAACAAGGTGCCCTCTGCATGTTGCTCTTCAATTATATAACATTTCAGAGAGGCTTTTGCAGATGTTCAGGAGATGATATTATTTTTCCTGAACTTCCTGGATTGGCTTTTTCCTCGTGTCTCAGAGCCTCGAGCCTCCGTGATCATGCTTCAGCAGTTCATCCCAGCTTATTGGTGATGTTGTGGTGGTGACAAGCTGTGTACAGTATGACCAACCGCTGTAGTGTTTCACCCATAAAATTCTAATATAAAAAACTTTTAGATGGTGATACTGTAGGATTAAGAAAATGACTGATATTAAAATTTATTTGGAAAGTAGGAGAGTGGTAGAGAGGTAATCCAGTCAGTTATTGAGTTGTTCGGTGTTTGTCTTGCAACATGTGAAGGAAGTGACCAGCTCTGGGAGGTGTAGAGGAAGATAAAGGCGGAGTGGGATTCCATGCCAGCCACACTTTCTCGTGAAGGTCACCACACACGGTTGTGCCTGCAAGTGCTAACACTACAATATTTGAAACTACGGTGAAACCTCTATTTAACAGACTATATGTAGAGGAAAATCCATTATATCGAGGGTCCATTAGATATGAAACCCACATCTAACAGATTATATGGAGAGAGAAGTCCGTTATTTAGAGGTTTCACCGTGTGGAAAACAAAGGCTCGAGTCATATAAAGTCAATATCATGCACTATTGCAGTAACATCCTGTAGTGGTGATGGACCATCACACTATAGAGCCCAGTACAGTATAGTGTTAGTTATACCTGTGGCACCTGATGCTCACCTAGCACTCAGCAACATGATCTGTACTTTGTATTTTGACCCACTTTACATACATTGTTCACAGATGTCTCAGAATGTGTAACTTATCCAAGCCACACCCACACCTATACACAAGCCCACCATTCTCACATAACACACAAATGAACTTTACACTCATTCACTTTACTGGTGGCAAGTACAGTAATTTTTACAGGTACTTGATTATTCTCTTGCAACTGGTAAATCTCGGTATTTTTCTTTAAAATCTTTAATTAAATGGCAGATTTGTTTCATGAAATAACTCAATTCAGACCTGGAACTGAATGTCAGGTTCAGTCAGCTGTCAGAAGTTGTGGCAGTCAGATGTTAGGCACCTGCTCCCATTATCCAGTGTTTACAACATTTCTTCACTGGCTAAATATTTTATAACTCTTTCATGAACATCTACACTTGAGTCTCCACAAACAGTTTTTCAA